TGGTCTGCATCATAAACAATCAGATACCCAGCCGGCAAATAACGTTGAAATATCGTTGAAACCTAACGTTGAATTAACGTTGGTTTAACGTTTAGAATGAAAGTTTTTTTCAAAGTTGATTTATCAACGTTAAATCAACGTTAGGTTCAAACGTTATATCAACGTTGATTTGACGCGAAAAAACGTTACAATAACGTTGAATTTACGTTGATTTAACGTTTAGAATGAAAGTTTTTTTCAACGTTGATTTATCAACGTTAAATCAACGTTAGATTCAAACGTTATATCAACGTTAATTCGACGCGAAAAAACGTTACAACAACGTTGAATTTACGTTGATACAACGTTTAAAATGATAGTTTTTTTAACGTTGATTTATCAACGTTAAACGACTGTAAAATACTTTTTCACCATCAAAACGTGCTATGTATGTCAAAATGTATATATGTAAGTAAACGTGCTATGTGCGTCAAAATATGATCACCATCAAAACGTACTATGCATGTACATTAGTGTTGCTGTACATTATTAAGGTATATTATGGATATTAAATCTATTCATAGTCTATACTTAGACTATTTAGAACTTTTTCAGTTTAGTTTAGTTAAAATAGCATTAAATTCAACATAATTTAATGGATCATTTTTTTAAAAAGTTGTATTATATTTACATTTAATAATATCAGTCTTTGAGCATTGTAGCCCAAGTTAAACGAAAAATATCGATTTTTAAACGATAATGTTCTTTCAGGAAAATCGTCTTAACATGTTTTCGATCTCTTGAAAATTCTATATGATATGAGTTCAGTATTTACATTTTTTTTCCATTATAAATCTCTATAACTTTAATCGTTGAAATAATGTTTACGATTTTACTTCCATTTCTGCGCGCGCATAAATTTTATATCGTATTTTTTGTCAACAATGATTGAAATAATGACGTTAAAATAACGTTAAATAATCAACGTTTAAACTGTAACGTTGATTTAACGTTGAAATAACGTAAAATAATCAACGTTTAAACGGCAACGTTGATTTAACGTTGTGACATAGTTGAACAACGTTGAATCAACGCTTCAACCGAATTTCAACGTTGAAACAACGTAATAATGCCGGCTGGGATAGTTTATTGGAAAATTTTTTCGTTAATTAAGGTCATATTGTGGACCGCAAAAAATCTTTCAAAATTTATTTTAAAATTATTATTTCAAATAAAATTTTATTTAGAGTAATTGCTACTATTATAACAATTTGCAGACTTGTAGAATTTCAAGTTATTGAATCCTATTTTTAAGTTTAGTCTTTGCTAGGTGGTGGATGCAAAAACATTTAAATAATAGAAAGTTTGTTTAGCAGATAGAAGTAAAAGAACTACAACTGCCAGCAATTCAATTTTTTTAGTACTCTTACATATTAACACCAAAACTTTTAGTGAAAAAAAAAAAAAACGTTTTTTCTTAAGAAATAATTGGGTTTAAACACTTGGTAATATTTCTAGCTTTTTTGATCTACAATGATTTTTAAATTTTAGATACTTTGTAGTTTTATTGAAGACATTTTGATGCAAACTGGCTGAGCAAAATCGCATTAAAGTTCAAATTTCGACTATATATTTCTAAATATATATATAAAAAAAATCATTAACTTTTTTTTTAACACAAACAGAAACAGTTTTAATAAACAAACATAAAGTTTATTTTATTTTATTTCCTTTATCGTCTAAGTTAAAGGTAGTTGAAGTTAGGAACTTTTTAGAAATTTTAGATGTAAATTTTACTGACTCGCCTTAACTACACTGAGTGTTTAAAATTTTTACTTTTTTCTTTTTTCTCTCAGAATAACAATTTGTGCACATAAGCCAATATATTTGGAGAACTGTATATTTTTCTATGAATTTTTCAGGAAGTGTTTAACATATAATACTCTATTAATTAAATGGAATAGATTTTAATTAAATTATAAAAATAAATAATTTTTGTAATAAAAAGATAAAAAAATTTGACTCTGAACTTTAGTCTTCCTGTTGCGGTGGTGAAAAAAAGTTTTGAAAAACCCGTTCCACTCATATCATAGGTCTGCCTTATGGCAACATTTTGGTTTAATATTGATGAGTGGAAGTGTGCCTATTTCTTTGTTACATACACTGTTTTACAGTCCGCACAAAACGAATAGCACTTCAGTAATTTAGTAATTAATACATATTTTACACAATTTAACACAAGAAATAAAATGAAAAAAAAAAAGAAAATACTGTCTTCGTTTTTGTTAAATATGTAAAAAAAGCAAAAAATGAATAAAATAAAAAATACATCATGGGCCAAACCAATAGCACACACGCCGTTACAGCAGGTTTTAGAGATTACTAAAACGTAGAAACGAATTTAATAGTCAGTCTTTTTACCTTTCTTTATAATAACCTGAATGCAACACTTAGGCATCAAGGAAATAGCGTTTCAAGCAAAGACTGAGGGATTTTTGTTCCATTCCATCTGGATTGCCATTTTCAGTTCCGTGACGTTACTGCATTGTTTTCCATTTGCATACACGTGACGAGACAAGTAACCCCAAATATTTTCAAATTGGGTTCAAGTCAATTGAGAGCGCTGGATGATCAAACAACTGGGTGTCATGTTCCGTTACAAATTCCATCGTTTTTTGCTGTATGTATTGATGTGTTACCATGGATAATGACAAACTTATTTCTATAGTTTGCATGCCCATATAGCATTAAGTAATTAGAGAGTGTAATAATATAGTCTTCAGCTGTTTGTTTCCTTTCTAAGAACTTTAATTCAGATAATCCAGTTTTGGAAAATGCACTCTAAATTATGACACTACTTTTTTTTTTATATATATATTTTGCTGCTTATATAAAAATAAAATAGCTAAATTACAATGAAACTTTTACGTTACACAAAGAATATATATAAAACAGACAGGGGCTTGAAGAAGATAAGGATGACTGGTGTGACCACAATCTTTTTATAGAGCCCCTTTAAAATATCATTTAAAGCTCACATGGCTTTAGAAAATTTACAACAAATGTTTTATCTGTTAAATACTACGTGAAGAATAAAGAAAAACTCATATATACATATATACTCATATATACATATACCCATAAAAACACACACATATACAAACATACTTACATATATGTCAGAAATTAAGGAGATGCAATTTCATTTGTCGTTTAAAAGAGAAAGTGCTTTTCAAATTTTTTTTTAATTGATTCCATATTGACGGGCCCTGGCTAATAAATGAGAATTTCGACAGTTGCGATTTTACTCTGCTCAAGTAATAGTTATGGTTGTTTTTTGACCGAAGATTGTATTTTTGTGAAAATGCTGGTGTAAAAATATCAGAAAACACTTTTGGCACTAAGTTATTCTTTTATCTATACATAAATATTAATATTTGCAGCGAATTAAGTTTTGATATACTTAAAACATTCATATATTTCATTACAGGGAAAGGGTTTTCTAATCTCTTTAAATAGTTAACGGCTTTAAGGGCATGGTTTTGTAGGCTCTGCAATCTTAATAACTTAGTTTTGTGTGTGTTTGCCCAAATAATATTAGCGTAGGAGAGATGACAATGAACATAACTGAAGTAAAGCATTTTGCGTGATTTATAATCAAGAAAGACCCTAGATTTATATAATACACTTATAGCAAAAGATATTTTAGCTTCAACGAGACTAATATGTTTTTTCCGTAATAGGTTCTCATCAAATATTACTCCCAAAAAATTTGAATGATTTACTCGATTTAATTCATTTTTATTGATTGACAGTTTTGGCAACTTTAATGGAAGATTAGTTGGTTGTCTTATTTTATGGAAGAGAGTATAACTTGTTTTTTCACAATTTAATATATATATATATATATATATATATATATATATATATATATATATATATATATATATATATATATATAGTATAATATTAAAACTAGTATATTAAATAAAATAAAAAAATTAAGAACTTGCTAATAGGGGAACAAGAGTTTTTAATAGAAGGTATACCTTAATTTAATTTTCTGCTTCCAAAAGTGTGCGCGATTTTAATTTCATTTTTATGTCCATTCATTTTAATTCCAAACGTGAGCGTGATTCAAATTCCATTTTAATTTTCATTTCAAAATGTGAGTGATTAACGAAAGTTTTTTTAACGTCTATTTAATTAATAAAGTTATCAAAAATAGGTTTAATAAATTACAAAATTTTCTTATCGTCCGTTTAGTTAATGAATTGCATATTTATATTATTTTTATTTATACTGTTACCATTTTAAGGTATGGTTTTATAATTTCAAGTACTTAGGTTCATTAATTTTTCAAAGTTGTAGATAACAAAGTTGTAATATAACAAAATTAGCATGTTTTAAACTTAATTTTAGGTTCATTAATGTATTAGATATTATTAAATAAAACCATTTTTAAATGTTTGATAATTACTTAGAGTTATTTCCTAATAAATCCCGATGAAAATTTCTCTTGGAATTTTTGCCATCCTTATAATGACACAAGAGACGCTAGCTCATTAGAGCAGTACCCATTAAAATATTTATAGATTTCCATATCCATATTGTTAGATTAATGTATTAATATGGAAATGGTTGGCTGCAAGAGCAGGTCAAACTATGTCCACAAAGCGTTAAGGTTACGCCTAAAAGGGCATCATTAGAAGATCTACCCAAGATATGACTGAGACGGACTTGACATTCATCGAGGTCTGAACTTTTTCGACAAGGGAGAGGAAGGGAGGGCCAATCAAAGTTGATGTCAACAATTTGTTTATAAGCTTCGCTTAATAACGGATAATTTGAAGCGTAGCTTCTTTATGTAAGAGGATAGGGAGGGGGAGGGGGAAATCTCTGACAAATTTGACAATAGATTTTAAAAAAAATTTGTCGACGTAAGGTGTTATTATCAACATTCCTTGAACAAAAATCTTAATTTTTCACAGGACTTATCAAAAATTTAAAAGTCTGTTTGATTTTATATCAAGCATTTATTTAACATTAAGCTCTTTAGCCTTAATTCGCTCTAACTTTGCTACTCTTGCCTGACTTTTGCTGCCCATAACACCTCCACCCCAATGTTTTCTAATTTCATCAACTCTTTCATTGTAATTGGTTTTCACTGCTTCTGATACTTTATCCAATGAAGATTTATCTTCAGGACGTGTTGTAGTGAGTGCAATTGCAGTAGCTGTTTTTTTGTGAACAAGCTTACCAAGTCTAAAAAAAGCATAGCTACATTTAAAACACTCAAAACATTTTTACATGCAGAATATAATTTCTACTTATGAATTTTATGTTAAGTATTCTACTGTAAATTTCTACTGTAAATCTCAGAATCCCATGGATTTTATTTACATATTATTTTCAAATAGCAAATATTCATTAGGTAAACATCATTGATTCACAATACAGTAGAAACTGGCTAAATCGAGTACATGATAAGACCATTCGACCTCATTAAGGGCGGTAAATTATTGCAGACCTTGTTTTTAAAATTCCGAGAGCTGATAATAAAATATATTTAATATTATTAAATTGTTGAAATATACTTAAATTTAAAAATTAATACCTAGCTTTTCCTTTAACAATGCAATATGGAACACCCATTTTACGACAAAGAGCAGGTAACCAAACAACGATCTAAAATCAAGTGCATTAAAATACAAAACATATTAGGAATATCTATAATCAACAAATTAAAAAGTAAAAATGTATATATTACTTAGTACATATACAAAAATATGTCAACTAGAAGTTTAGCATTAATAAAATTAGCTCTAAATGTTGGGTCTGGTCAGCATATTTTTTGTTAAAAATCTTTAAAAGCTTAGTTTAGTGTTGATAGAAGAAAAAGTACTTGTAAAAAGACTGGGTTTTTCTCGTCAATTATATAACTAAGGTTGGGGTGAGATTTAAATTAAAGATTCTACTTAAATTTCTTTGTTAGTGAGAGTTAATAGTGGAATTAATATAGAGAATGCTTAAGCAATAACAAATTAAAATTTAATTATGAAATAAGCTTAATTTTTTTTATGGTAGTTGAAAAACTAACACTTTTTACAAGAGACTAAGAAAATGTAAAGTCAAGATTTATATTAAACTAAAAGTAGTAGCTCATATCATGAATAGAATGTTAACATTTGCATAATACAAAAATTATATATTAAAAATAAACAGTATTTAACAAATAGTAGTCAGAATTAAGATAAATAATTTAAAGATGTATTAGTTTATACATTTTTATACTCAATATATTTATATTTACTAATATTATATATATACAATTAGGTAGATGCAAATTCATGACACATAACTTTGAATGAAACTTTATCAAGATACAAAAATAGATATTTGCTAGGAAACTTTATTACACATATGAACCAATTTAAGTGCTAAAATTGTGACTTGTTTCTTTAACTTTTAAGTAGCAATTGGTAAACACATTTTTGTTGAGTTTTAAATGTTACATATAAAAAAAACTTGAACATTCAAGACAAAAACTTTTAGTAGAACTGTTGCTTTTGAATTGATTGTTAACTAAACAGTTAATAGTTCAAGTATCAGTAAACAATTTTATTTAAACAACACAAGTATAAAGATTACATTAAAATATAAAGTAGTATACAGTTTACATACTCCAATATCCTTTCATTTTGTTAAGCAATTATACAATCATGCATTGTTACATCTTGTTTAGATGCTACCACACTTTTTTTTAGATTTCCTAAGTATAATTCATAATTTTTGGGTTTATTCTTAAAAGATAAACATGTTAATGACTAAATACAAAGATAAAGTAGAATACAATAAACTAATGTTAATAGTCAAAAACGGTTTAAATTTTCTTTTCAGTCACTTTAAACATTAACTTAACTATAAGTTAATGTTTTTGAAGTGTTTAATGTTAATATAACATTGATAGTATAAAATGTTATTGGTTATTAACAGTCAATTACACTATTATTTTTTATGCTATCAATATTATTTCAACATTTATAACTTCAAATAACAATTTTTAAATTAATAAAAAAATAATTATCAACACTAACTTATTGTATACTAATTAAACTTAGTATTAATATTTTAAGTGTTGACTTGTTTGTAACAAGTTTTATTTTATAATATTATGGTTTTTTTTAAGCAAACTTGTTGCACAAAAAGCACAATTTAACTAAAGATTTTTACTTTAGTAACTTTCTGATGACAACTTAAAGGTGTTTTGTTATATTGTACAGTCTTTTTATTGTCTTTAGTTTATTCTACTCAGCTCATGACTGGTAAGTTTGTACAACAATATCACAACTTTTGGTAATGATTATGACAAATGGTGTGATACTGACTATTTAGGCCTGTCATTTTTGATAGCAGAGTTAAAAAAAGTAGACAATTAACAAGACAGAATTTATACTATTTTCAATAGGCAACAAGATAAAACTGATATTAAAGCTGTCGAACATAAGATAAAAAAAATCAAGCTAGCTGATGTTATATTAGAAGAATTTATAATTTCTTGATCGCAATATAAGACTAATGTGAAATGCTTGCATGTAGCAAGTTGGCTTGTTGATAGACAGCTCTGGCTTACCTTCAGGTGGTGTTTATTATTAAAAATAATTTATTTTGTATCATTAATGCATATTGAAATTAAAAATTCACTAGAAGCTATTGTTTATTTCAAAAGACTTGTTTTATGTGTTTGTTTTTTTGATTTAAGTGCTTAATCTGCCCATTTACATGAAAAAATATAAACTCTTGTAATGAGGTAAAATAGTCTCTTAAACTTTTTTTTTTGTTAAATTCTCAAAAGTTTTTTTTAAGTTAGAGCATAACAACGGCAGCATGCACCCTGTTCCATAAGGGCAATTTATACACTACTAGTACACTATTTTGTAAATTATTGAAATACATTTTATTATTAGTATTAAATCAGTAAATTTAAGAAAAGGTTAAAATATTTAAAAGAATAAAATTTTGATAGGGTGTGTTTAACCTTTACTACAACTTGACATTCAAATTTAAGATGGACCTGTATTATTTGCTAGTGATGTGGAATAAAAAGATAACTTGAATATAAATAGTACTAATTTAATTAAAAAAAACTTTTATGAAAAAAGTGTATTTTTGTGAAATGTAGGATTAGTACCCCACCAGATTTCTCAATGCCAAGAAACTAGTTTGAAACTATAGCTTATTTTTACATTTAATATATGATATTTAATATATAATAATAAGATATAGATATTAATATATAATATATTAATATTTAATATATAATAATAAGATATAGATATTTAAATAAAAATTGGTAACATCAAAATAATTTATATGAAAAAAAAAAAATTTATACCAGTTTTACAAAGAAAGATATAAAATTTTTTTTATTTGAAACAACATAAATTTTAATTTTCATATTATTTGATGTAAAAAATTCTTGTTTAATTAATTTGAAAAAATTGGTTAATATATTTAACATATGAACTAAGGGTTAATACATGCACTCAATAAATTTCTATTTAATCTTTGTTTCAGATTTATAGCAAAATACACTAAATGACCAGTGTGAAAATATACATTAAACAAAGCATAATTTACTTTGCATGAACAATTGTAAAATGAAAATGCAACAAAATTAAATACCTCAATAGGATCAACATCGTGTGCTATTACAACTAATGCTGCTTTCTTGCTTTCTACTAAATTTGTAATGTGATTGATACCATATTTAATTGTTATTGGTTTTTTGACTTTGGTTTCTGCAGAACCAGCAGCTTTTTTCTCAGCCAACTGTGTCAACCTTACTTTTTTTTCTTTTTTAGTTTCTGGTCGATATTTATGCAACAACTTAAACAATTGAGTAGCTAATAAGTAAAATTATGATTTTTAAAACAATATTATAATCATTTTTTGTTGAAAATTTTAATTTAATACAATACTTTATTGCCAATAAGACTTTTGATAAATATAAATTACCTGTTTGTTGATCTAAAGTTTGAGTAAACTGGTTTATTGAAGGTGGAACTTTCAACCTTTGATACAAAATTCGTTTTTGTCGTTGTAATCGTACATACTTTGGCCAGCGAACGAATCGTGTTAAGTCGCGTTTTGGTTGAACATCAGCGCCTTAACATAAAAAGAAAGTTGAGTAAAATTATAACTTTTAAGTGAAATTTATGTTTTGTAAAAAATATACATACCTATTCCAAAGTTTTTAGGTCGTTTTTCTACTAAAACATTTACGATTTTCTTAGGTGTAGGTTTAGCTGTTGTTTGATATGGAGCAGCGGCTACCTTCTTGACTTTGACCTTCTTCGTTTTTGGCGGCTAAAGTAGTCCATGATAAAGTAAAGATAACATTTAAACACGTTATAGTTTTAAGTATAGTAATAACGATCTCTCATTTTTTATAACAAATAAAAGCTCACGAAAAATATTATCTTCCATTTAGTTTAAACAAGCTGTAACATAAGGATCATTAAGATTTTCTAAGATAAATTTTAGGTATATTTTGACATAATATTATACCATCTTTGGGTCCTGGCCAAATCTTGGGTTAAAAAGATGTAGTATATTGCGGAACCGCACCAAAACAACTCTTGAACTGTTTTTAAAAACCAAGGTAGATGTATTTTATTCTTACAAATAATAATTTTTGAAATTTTAATAATATATTATAAATTTATAATATAAATTTATAATTTATTATGTTACTTTAAAAAATTTACAAAAACTATTTAGTTTTAAAATTTTAAATTTTTTATACATATAATTTGCTTTTAAATAACAGAACCATTTTTTTTTTTATTTGTACGATTTAATAAAAAAGTAATTAATATTCGATCAACAATCATTAAGAAGGTTCGGTGTCTTTAAAGCGAAACTTTTAAGAGCGAAAATTTTGAAAGCGAAAGGTCGTGAAAGCGAAAAAGTTAAAAGCGAATGCGATTGGTTAAGCGAGAAAATTTTTTTAATAACATTAGTAACATCTTAAATTAAGATGTTATTAAGATTTAATAACATCTTAATAACCTTGGTAACATCTTAATAACATTTTAATAACATTGGTAACATTATTATTTTTATATAAATATATATGAGTTAACCTATTATTCTTTTTCATTGAATTGTGTCATCTTAAAGTTGTTACAATTGAAGTGAGTCAATTTCAGAAATAAGTTCATGAAGTTTATTATAAACTTTAAAAGTTTATACTTTATAGAAAATTGAGTAGGGCAAAATTGAATTGTTTAGAATTTTGCTCCAAAACAAAGCGTAAAAGTTAGATGTGTATACCAATTATAATAGGGAAAATTAGTTGTTTTCGCATAAAAAAATTAGTTAGTTAGAAGTGGTTCTCTTTTATGTGCCAGCATATCGGCCAGTTATATTTACTGTTTAATTATCTGCAAGGCAAAGTGATTATTTTAATATTTGTGTTTAAAATAATTTTAATAATTGTTTCACTTTAGAAATATGAATTATAGCTTAAACTTTAAGCTTTTAAGTTAAAGCCTGTGTCAAAAATGACTTTTATATGTTGTATTTAAATATGACTTAATGACATTATTTATATGACAAAAATGGCTTTTATATGGTGCATTTGCCTGAAATTTGACTTTTAGTCTATTAGTCAAAAATCACAATATAAGTCTCTATAATAAAGATACTTATATTGTGACCATTATGTATGGCATTATCTTGATCGATGTTGTTACACTTGGAATATGTTGTTTCAACTTTTAGGTATTTTATTTTGCTACAATTTTTTTATGATGTTGTTTTGATTTGATTTGTTCTGTAAACAGAAAGCTGTACAGTGTCCTTTTTTTTTCCACCTGTTGAATTTCAGCAACATTTTTGTCAAAATTATTTATAGTTCATTTTACAAGAGGTAGTAGAACATTATTTTATTTTTAACTACTTTCTTATTTTGTAATGTGGTTTTTTTTATTTTAGAACAATTTAAGAGTTGAAGCACTTGTATAAAGAACTACAATATTTTAATTCTTAAGTTTTTCTACTCTAAAATAAACATAATCATAATAATCAAAACATAAAAACATAATCTAAAATAATCAAAACACAACATTCTCTGCAGCCATAATACAAACAGAATACTCTATAATACAAACAAGGTTTTTCATGTATCTTCTTCTATAAGTCGTAATGGTCGACGAATTGCTCTTGAGGATCTACGTGTGTCTTTTCCAGGTGTTATTAATAACAATGGATTGATTGGACAAGCATCATTGACAAGATTTTCAGCTGGCGGAGGTTGATAAAGGGGAGGCTGGTTAGGAAAGTTTTCAGGATTGGTATTGGTAAGTCCATATTTCTCAGGTGTTAATGGTTTATAGGGGTAAGAAGGTTTATTAAAAGCATTCTCTGGTGAAGGTTTAATATTATTAAAGGCATTCTCTGGTGAAGGTTCAATATCGTTTGTTTGATCAATGATCGGAGCAGAACTTGTTGGAGCTAAGTGTCTTGGGAAACTATGGTTTCTCTTCCATCTGGATACTTTATGTGAGCATATTGAGGATTAGCATCTATGAGTTGCACTTCGTCTACCAGTGGTTCATACTTATTATTACGTAAATGTCTTTTCATTAGTATTGGTCCAGGATGACTTAACCATGAAGGTAAAGTGCATCCAGAGGCTGTTTTACGAAGGTGCTTAAACATTCTTTCATGAGGTGTCTCCATTGTTTTAGTATTTACTAAGGATCATATAGAATGGAGAACGTCTGGCAATACTTTTTCCCAAGCTTTGATGGGTAAATTGTGTTGTCTAGTAGCAATCTCAATAGACTTCATTATAGTTCCATTATACTTTTCGGCTTGTCCATTCCCTTGTGGATTATATGCTGTAGTATGACTTGTCGCAATACCTTTCTCTAGTAAGTATTGTTTTAATTCTTTACTGATGAAGGCTGAACCTCTATCGGAATGGATGTAACTTGGCAAACCAAAAATCGAGAATACTTGTGACAAACACTTAATTACAGTCTGAGCTGAAATATCAGGGCACGGGATTGCAAAAGGAAAACGAGAATACTCATCAATTATGGTTAAAAAATACTTGTTATTAGTTTCCGAAGGAAGAGGTCCTTTAAAATCTAAGTTCAAACGTTCCAGTGGTTGTGTCGCCTTTATCAAATTAGATTTTAGTGGTTTGTAGTATCTAGGCTTACATTCACAACATAGTTTGCACTGATTAGTTATTCGTTTAACATCATCAATTGAGAAAAGTAAATTACGGTTTTTAATAAAAGCATAAAACCTAGTTACTCCAGGATGACAGAGTGATTGATGAAGCTGAATTAAGTTGTTAGTGTTTATTGCTGAGCAATGTATTCTAGAAAATGTGTCAGCTGGAATATTTAGTTTCCCTTCCCTGTAAACAATGTCATAATTATAGCACAATAGTTCAATTTTCCATCGATAAATTTTATCATTTTTAATCTTTGATTTATGTTGCTTTTCGAAGATATAGGATACAGGTTGCTGATCAGTAATAAGTTTAAAATGGCGTCCAGTAAGGTAGTGTTTCCAATGTCTGACTGCTTCTATTATTGCGCAAGCTTCTTTCTCAATAGAGGGATGTTTGAGTTCAGATTTTTGAAGTAATCTTGAAAAGAAAGCTACAGGGCGGCCATTTTGATTAAGAACTGCAGCTATAGCAATGTCAGATGCGTCTGTTTCTACTTCAAATGGAACATTTTCGTCCACATAATCTGTCACAGCATTTGCAATGTCTTGTTTGAGTTGATTGAAATCATTTACACACTGATGATCTAATGGGTACTTGGTGTTTTTGGTAAGAGAAGCTATTTTATCGGAAAAGTTTGGAATCCATTTAGAGTAGTATGAGAATAGTCCGATGATACGCTTCATGGATTTAGCATCATGAGGAGGAGGCATTTCTTTCATAGGTTGAAGACGACTGGGATCTGGTTTGAGTTTTCCTTCTTCTATAAGATAACCAAGAATGCAAATTTTATCTTGGGAAAAGCTACATTTATCATGATTATAAGTAAGATTTATATTTTTAGCTGACTTGAGAAATTTTTCCAGATTAAGATCATGCTCCTCTTGGGTTTTACCACATATTGTCACATTATCTAGATAAGCATAAGTATCTAAAAGTCCTTCCTTTTCATCGGGTACAACAAAATTAGTCAGGATTTTTAACTTATTGAGTTCTTGAGGGAGTTCATCAAGATATTATTCAAATGTTCTGAGCCAATGTTTAAATAATTTTGTTGCTGAAGGTGAGTTCGGTAATGTATCCAAACGAGAAGGTCTTAGAGCTCTATCCATATTTTATTTTGATAAGAGTAGAAAATTGAAGCACTTGTATAAAGAACTACAATATTTTAATTCTTAAGTTTTTCTACTCTAAAATAAACATAATCATAATAATCAAAACATAAAAACATAATCTAAAATAATCAAAACACAACAAGAGTATGATTTAATTAATAACTGTGTGAATCTTCTTGGTTGATGCCTAAAAGATTTTTTGAAGGCAGTTCTACATTTTATTGAAATATAAAAACATGTCAATATCCCAAAAATTATTCTGCGTAATGTTTTTTGTATTGTTTGCATGTAAAATTAAAAATTCAGTCATTAATTGTGAAAAAGACTAATTGGCTAATTAGTTTAAAAAGTTTCAATGGTGATGATTGATTGGTGAGAAACTTATTTACTTTTTATGTTTTAATTACATGATTAGTAAATATTTATGATATGAATTGTTTGTGAGCTCAGTAAAGTTTTTATTTCTACATTTGTATTACTTAGCACAAATATTTTATAATTTTGGTTTGTAATAGCCTTAATTATCTTATTTACTTAATGTTCAGTATACTGTTATGTTGTTTTTAAACTACATAAAATAGTTTTTAAAACGAAAATGACTGCTGGCTCTATATGAATCTAATTTAAGTTTACTTCTTTGGGAATTTTATATCATTTATTAAGTTTATTGTATTGGTAACTTTTTTATTACTAAAAAAAGAATTTTGTTACACAAAAAAAAGTGTAAAATGCATAACATCCCAGCTATTACAATATATTGGAGGGCTTTTATTGGAAATGTTTTTTTTTTAACATTTTCATTTCCAACAAGACAGCAAGCACCTACTATTAGAGAAAAGATAAAATTTAACAGAAAAAATTAATAGATTGCGAATTATATGAAAAAAAAAACAAACAAGCTGAAGCAAGTGAAAAAAAAGTTTCACGAAAAAACAGATTAGAACTATTTGGGCACTTAGGAACAGTCATATTAAAGGATTAGCCTTTATTGAATGATGAGTAACACAATAGGAAGTTTAGTAGATGATACAAGAGACGCTAGCTCTTTAGAGCAGTGTCCATAATTGTATTTATAAAAAATAAAAAGAGAAGCAACATTATGATAATATTCTAATGGTTGGAGGTTGGCTGCAAAGGTCAAGGTGCAAAAACAATTCCTTTTTGTACCTTGTCTAAAAGAGAAAGGCCATTACTGGAAGATCTGATTAAGATATGGCAAAAGTGTTCCATGCAGGATGGATGTAAGATTTATAAAGATAAGACATAAATATTTATAGAGATGTTTGAATTGATGTATACTTTTAAATTTAATATTGTATCATAAGTTGACAATATATTCAAAGACTGAAATTTAGCACAATTGTTTTAAGCAAAAGGTCTTTGCACACCACCAATTAAGCATTTATATTTCAAGAGTTGTTTATTGATAAAAGCTAGCCTTAATTTACATAAATAGTAATATTTGTAGATATTATTATCTACTAGATAATAATTTATATTAAAAACTAACCTTTATATGTCTCGTTTTCAAATATGTTGTGTTGATATATTTGCCCTCGTTTTCAGTTTATGACTCAAAATTTAAACATCAATTCTTGAGGTTTAACTATCTCATCATTTCTAAAAGTATCAAGGGTAGACAGCCTAACTCGCCATACCTAATCAAAACAAAAGAACATTATAAATTCGTATCTTTCTAATTTTATGAATAATTTTTATTTAAACATTAAAACAATTTTTTGCTTGAAATCTAATGCATAAATTTCAAAAAACAAATTAAAATTAAATAATATCAATAAGAAATTATGCAAATCTTTTTTTTTTTATCTATAACTTATTAACTTGTAGTGCAATTATAATTTTTATGCAAGATTTTATACCTTTTTGTCGCAATGTAACTCAAGTCTCAGCTAGAATACCAAATGAATAAATAATTCTAAACTATATGTATTTAATTCTATACTAAAACTAAATACATAAACTCTAAACTATATACAATAAGTTTTTTTTTATTTATTTAATCTAATAAACTCTAACTGTAACTATAACTCTCAGCTAGAATATCAAATAAATAATTCTAAACTATAACTAACTTATAATTATAAAAATATTAACAGTTTAAAAAAAATAAAATCCAAACGCTAAATAATCTATAACAAAATCAATAAATTCCAGTTGTTGTTGCTGTTGAACTTATCGCGATTCTCGATTTCCCGGTTTTCGCTTTCAAACTTTTCGCTTTAACGTTCTTTCGCTTTAAAACTTTTTGCTCTTACGTTCTTTCGCTTTTAAACTTTTCGCTCTTACCTCCCATTACCATTAAGAATTATATTCGCGTTACTGATGAATTGATGCGATCATTTCAATGTTTTGATAAATTTGTGTTATAAAGTCATAGTCGATTTAATAACTTTATATTAGATAAAAATAAGTTTCTCTTTCCTAATATGTCTGTTTCTTCAGATATATTTATTTTTTTTTAAGTGTAAAATATATGACTTACAATTAACTATACTATCAATTTATTAATTAAAAATTAAAATTTTGTAAGGATATTAGTAATATCATATTGAAGAATTCCAAAATTTTATTTGGTTCTCTATGTAGTGGAAGAAATAAATAATTTTAAATCTAACTTGAGATTTTTAATATTACATAAAACCAAAGATTTATAAACAAAAATAAAAAATGTTAAAATAACTCATTTTTTACTATTCAAGTGTCAGTTTGTAGCTCTATAAATCTTAAAAAGCTAAATAATTTATAATACAAAATTAAAACTTTTGTATTTTAAATTATTTTAACAAAATAAGTTTTTGCAAATGTTGCTTTAAACAACTAATACAGCAATTTGTATTACTATTCCTAATGCATTCTTATTAGACAAATTACTGTCTAGAAATATTTAAATTATTAATAAGACTTTATAAATTAATATTTGGAAAAACATACCCAGTGTTATTAAAAATTATGTTGAAATTTGCATGTTTATGCCTTTATGAAATGAGGTACTATAATTTTTAAATAATATTATATTTAGTGACTAAATTTGAAAAGTTCTTAAAAAAAAGTTTTTTATTCAAAAAATTAAAAAAATTAAAAAAACGTGAAATACGTGAACTAAGGAACATGAAAAGGAAGACTGCTTATAATGTGGAGTAGTGGCCAGCATTCAGAAGTTTAATATTTACTGAATAAAAGTTTAACTGCTTACAAGATAACATTCAAAAGATAACAAGGGCATCATAAAGCAGTTTCTGTTTTGTGATGATCTGAACATCATATATGTTAGATATATTTATGTATCAATAGTTAAAAAGTAAAATTTTAAGACGAGTACTTGTCCCAAGTATGAAAGTAATCCATTTTAAACCAGGAGTATGGTATTACCAAATTTCTGGTAGTATCATGCTCAGCTCATTTTTTTGAAATGTGATTATGTCTGTCAACTTTAACGTTACAACAACATAAAATTTTCTCCATTAAAACAAAATTTTATCAATCATTTACCAAACAAGTTACTGGGCTGTGTTAATTTGTTGAATTAGGGGTTTTAATAAATTAAACAAATTACATAATTGTGATTTTTTATACTCCCTCTGTTCCAAAATACTTTTCTGATTAGCATTCAACATTCAAAAGAGTTATTGAAAATAAATTGTTGTTAATTTTTTTTTTTTTTTTTGTAAAATTTGTTTTTATTTATATATTTTTATGTATTTTAAAATTTTATATATTTTTTATATAAAAAAAAAAAACAAAAAAAAAATTAACAACAATTTATTTTCAATTATTCTTTACATTGAATGCAAATCAGAATAGTATTTCAGAATGGAGGGAGTATATATATGTTGGGATATAAAAGTGTGTGCTTTGTTTTATTTAATATAAGTTTATTATGCGAGACTTAATTGGCAAGTAAATATATTATTATTATTATTTTTTTTTTTTTTGAAGAATGAGTCATCGAGATACTTTATTAAAATCATATTCTAAACGTCTTAAAGATGACATAAAATCTATTTTAGACAACTATGTTGAGATAGTCAAAGCAGCCAAAGTAATTAATTTTTATATATTTTTTATTTAACATTTGAGTAGTTGTAAAAATTAAAAGTAAAGTAGTTTTTGTTTAGGTTGAAGAAGAAACACAAGTTGCACGTTTAACACAGGCTGTTGAAGATGGCTATGAAATTGACGTACGAGCATCTAATATTGTGAGGTTTCATTTTTATGCTAAAAATTAAACAGCATTGTTATTTTGATGAATGTAAAATGGTAAATAATAACTATACTATATATTATTAATCATAAATTAGAATGAATAATTTTTAAAAAATAGTCAAAATATTAAATAAACCTTAAATACTGGAAGCTGAGTGCAAATTTCATAAATTGACACAAGTACAAATTGGCATATGTGCGAATCGGCATAAGTACGAACTGGCTAAAGTGTGAATTTTATAAGTGCGAACTAGCATAAATACAAAACAGTTGCAAAAACTAGCACAAGTTTGAACTGGCATAAATACGAATTGGCATAAGTGCGCCAAACGAATTTGCAAACATTGGTATAAGTGCAAACTGGCATATGTGCAAAGCAGTTGCAAACACTGGAATAAGCGCCAATCAACATAAGTGCAAATTGGCATAAGTGCGCAGAATAAGTTTGCAGATAGTGGTATATGTGTGAACTGGCATAAATACAAAGCTGCTGCAAAAACTGGCATAAGTGTGAATTGGACAAGTGCAATGAAAAACAAATTGCCAATATTAATGTGTGCAAATTGGCATTTGACACTTATGCCAATTCACACTTATGTCAGTTTGCACTTATGCCAGTTTGCACTTATGCCAATGTTAAAAAATTCTTTGGGCACACCTATGCCAGTTCACATTTATTTAGATTCACACGTATGCCAGTTTTTGCATCTGCTTCACACTTAAGCAAGTTTTCACTTATGCCAGTTCGCACATACGCCATTTGCACTTATACCAGTTTGCACTTTGCACTAAAATTTGCTTATTCAGTCGGCCCCTTAAATAAAAAATTATAACAACACAAATGCAACCTATGTTGAGCAACTGCAGTATGCTTCAACTAGTCTTATTTCTGACTTTACTCGAAAATTTTTCATTTTATTATTTGTTTTTTGTTTTTGCATCATGACAACTCTTGAATCTAATGACAACGCTTATTTGTCAATTCAAAGAAATAGGTTAATCCACTTTTTGATAACTAAATCACTCCTGTTAAATAAAGTTATTTCTATATAAACTCTACTATACCTTGTTTTCCAAACAACATTCCTGCATAGTGTTATAAATGTCAGAATTCTTTTTATTACTCTGTAAACTATTTAGAAACTAAATATAGATGTTTAACTAAATCTTGTTTTTAGTTTTTAATCTATGGTTTTTAGTGTCAAGTTTTAATAACTATGGAAATTACTCTGTAACTATTGGAGATCTCTTTAACATTGTCCAATCAGTCTTCCTACTATTTTTAGCTAAGTCTTTGATTGTTTAATTAACAAATTTGAAAACTGATGTCTGTGGCAAAGTCTGTGATGTTGATATTCTCCATATGCTTGATTCATATTGTGTATCTGGGAAAGTTTTAAAGTAATTGAATCCTTTAATATTAACTGTAGTATTAAAGTTGTTCCTAAGTTTTTGTGAAAAAGTGAAAAACAAAGAGATTGGATATTAAAATGATATTAAACATATAAATATAGATATAAAACATTAAACATATAAATATAGATATAGTTAAAAAAATATTTCTATTTTTGTTTTTAATTATAATTTATTTATTATAAAAATTTTTATTTTAATTTTTCTTTTTCTTTTTTTTTTTTTGTAAGGTTCGGGCAGGCGAGTCATTAATGAAGCTTATAGCAGATATGAAAGAGTTTCTTATATTAAATGATTTTCCAGCAGTAAACACAAGTCTTCAAAAAAGAGTTCAACACTTAAAAACTATTGAAGATGAGACAAAGAAAAAACTTAATGAACTAAAAGAAGTTGTTAATAATGATCTTATTCTTTTAGAAGAAGAGTTTTATTTATCAAAATATAAAGTCTAAAATGAATTGGTTTTTATTGTTATTTTTTTCTTATTTTATTTTTTTATTTTATTTATACATTTTATTTTATTTATTCATGTTTTATTTTATTTATACATTTTATGTTTTTATAATCACGGTTGTCCTGGGGGTTGGGAGCGAGTGGTGGGATGAGGTAGGTGATATACATAAAAGTACGCAAAATTGAACAAAACGTGAACTTTAAGTTTAGAAAATATTACCTGCTAAACGCAAAAGTTTACGTTTGGCCAGATTTATTTGGTTCCATTAAGTTAATTAATAAGTTGTTTTTCATAAATCAATTAAATTTTTTTTTCTTTAACTAATGGTATTCAATTATTTTTGTTTCTATTATTAAATTTAACAAGACATTATAGGCCCGTACCGTGGGGGGGGGGGGGGGATGCCGTTGGGTGCGATCGAACGCCCTTTTTATGCAAAGTACTTTTTTTAATTTGACGCCAAACTATTTTTCTAGACTCTTTTTGATGTCAAAATATTTAATCAAAGTTTTTATGATAATTATTTTGTTATTTCACAAACGTAAGGCGTCATTACAAGTCATTTCCTTGTGAAATCTTTTGTGAAGGAAAAATGAAAAAAGTCTCTCCAGAGTTTATACTGTAATTATAATTCTCTACTAATTCACTTAACAAAGACAATAATAAACAATAGAGTTAACATGCCTAACCAAATCAAGAAACGAGCAGCTTATAGAAAAGAGCTTCAAACTGCTGCAAAGAAATGCAAATCGTTAGCTGGATATTTTAAGTAAAAAAGTTATTTTGATCTTCTTTTTATAATAATTGGTTTGATATTAACTAAATTTAGATATAGATATTATCTATACGTTAAATTTTTTTAAGAAAGTACTTTCGTTATTACTTGTTTTTTATTGTAATGTTTATGCGAGTTTTTTTAATTTTGGTATAGTATAAGAACTGAAAGTTTATCATTAATTACTTACGTTTCAAGTGTTTTTTATTATCGAGAGTTTTCAAAATGTAACCAATAAAACATTAGCCGAAGTAGAAGAAAAAGAGGAAGTCATTAAAGATGATAATAATGTTAACAAAAGCTTGCCATGCGAAGTAGACCAAAACTTTAAAATGTGATTTTAAAGAAAAAAAAAAACGATATGATATTGACGAACTCCTGCGCGGAAATCAAGAATTATCACCACATGCATTATACAAAATATTTACAAATAACTTAAAACAGAAGATATATTTTCAATTTCCTAAAAAATTAAAGCACGGTTGCAAACGCGCTTGTAAAAAAGATTATTTACAAAATGGATTTGTCTACAGCAAAAGTGAAGACGCAGTCTACTGCATATACTGCACTTTGTTTCTTAAGCAGGATAAAAAAAAATCTTTTGGAACTTTTGTTAACCGTGAATATAAGGAATGCCACAATGTTTTAGAGAAACAAAAACTGCACATAGGCAATAAATACCATAAAAAAGCTATCGAACAAGCTAATAGCATTTGTTGTCGTTTTGAAGATCTATAACAAACCATTCCATTACAAAGCGATAGCACTTTAAAAAACCGACAACGAATGAAACCGTACATTGTTGAAACATTAGGTAGAATAGTGCATTTGATGGGGGAAAAAAGGACTAGCATTTCGTGGAACTTATGAAAAGTGTATGGAAAACTCAGACCATAAAGGTAATCCTGGAAGCTTTCTTGCAATTGTGCAAGAAATAACTCGCCATAGCGCTGAACTTAATGCACATATACAAACGCCATTACGCAAAGATGTCAGCTACCTTAGCCACAAGAGTCAAAATGAATTAATTGATATAGTTGGAAAGAAATTTATTCAAGAGCGGCTAATTAATGAAATCAAAGCTGCAAATTAATATTCAATTTCAGCAGACGAGGTAGCAACTGCAAACCAACATATTTTATTAGTATGTATGAGATACGTAAACGGAGAAAAAGAAATTAGAAAAGCATTTCTTGACTTTTTGAATCTTGACAAGATAACAGGCAAACATATTGGGGAAAGCTTTATGAAATTTCATAGCGAAAGTGGAATTGATCTTAGTTCTTGTAGAGGCAAGTGTTACGATGGTCCACCAAACATGCAATCTGTAAAAAAAGGTGTTGCCAGCTATATTTTAAAAGGTGATCCTTTTAAAAAGCAATTGTAACTCATTGTAACTCACATAATTTGAATTTATCAATTGCTGCAACATCAGAAATACCAATCATTGATAACATTTTAGAGGTATACAGAAATATATCTATTTATTTCAATACCTCTTCGAAAAGTGAGCGCTTGCTGGAGCATGTTCCAGAGATCCGTTGTAAATCAACTGAAAGAAAAAAGATTTTGATAGGAGGTGCAAAACAAGATGGTCAGAAAGAGATACCGCATATGAACACTTTTATTTTGCTATACCAATTATGGCAGAGGCATTAGAGATTATTTTAGGAATACACTCTAATATAGAACAGTTCAATATAGAGTTTAGTATGGATTGGGACGCACAAGGAAAAAGAGAGGTTAACTCACTCCTCAATGCACTCACTAAGTTCGAATTCATAATTGGTATTATAACTTTGTACTGCTTACTTCACCCGTTGTCATATATAACAGAGAGGTTACAAGGGCGCTTATTGTAACCTCCTTGTTATGTCGTATATAAAAAGAAGGTTACAACTGATATTAACATTACACACTGTATGTAACATTCAAGAAACAATCAACAATTGGAACCATATACGAAAAATGTTGAAAAAGAAACTTACGCAATTTACCAACAAGCTACTCGTATGGCAAGTCCTAATCTCTTTGAGTTTCTAAAGATCGGATGTACACTACGCGTAACATCCGCTGAATGTGAACGCAGCTTTTCAGCAATGCAAAGATTAAAAACATGGTTGAGAGAGTTAGTATGACTGCAGTTAGACTTGTTCATTAGCTATTATGAATATCCACTTCTATGAAATTGTTGATTATAAACAAGTCTCAAAGTAATTTTTTACTTTACATCCTAGAAAATTGTATGTAAAAAGTTTACACAGCAAAATCCAAGATTCTAGTTCAAGAACTTTTGTTCTTATTTTAAGAACTTTTGTTCTTATTTTAAGAACTTGATTCTTATTTTAGGAACCTGATTCTTATTTTACGTACCTTACCTGTACGTAACAGACGATGGAGATGAAGTGATTATTATGTGTGGCAAAAGAATATTTTATGAAGTTTTTCATTTTCTGACTTTGTGATGGAATTTATTGGAGTGCACTTTTTTTGGACATAGGAGGAGTATTGCCGCTACAAGCATGAACAATAATAAAATATTCCAAAGAATAATTTGTTATTTCAATGATTAGATTTGTTGTTTAAATGTATAAATTCTTGTTGAATATTCTTATTATATATCATCCTAATTTCAAAATAATGTTTCATTTTTTCCATAGAAAAAGTACTTTTGTAATATTGTTTTAAAGTTCAGGGGAAATATTATTGAAAAAAAAAATAGAATTTTATTTTAAATAAAAATAACATTGAAACAAGTAAAAAATGATTTTTTTCAAGGAATATAAGTTCTTGAAACAAGAAAAAAATACATAATTTTAAGAATATAAGTTCTTGAAACAAGAAAAAAAGTTCTTGTTTTAAGAATAAAAATTCTTAAAACAAGAAAAAAAATTCTTGTATTAAGAATAAAAATTGTTAAAACAAGAAAAAAAATTCTTATATTAAGAATAAAAATTCTTAAAACAAGAAAAAAAAGTCTTATATTAAGAAAAAGAATTCTTAAAACAAGAAAAAATTCTTGCATTAAGAATAAAAATTCTTAAAACAAGAAAAAAAAATCTTATATTAAGAATAAAAAATCTTAAAACAAGAAAAAAATTCTTATAATAAAAATAAAAATACTTGTTTTAAGAATAAAAATTCTTGAAACAAGAAAGAAAAAATATTTAAGAAAAAAAGTTCTTAAAACAAGAAAAAAAAATCCTTATTTTAAGAATAAAAATTTTTGAAACAAGAAAAAATATTCTTACGTGGCGGACAAGTCATTTTTTTCTTGTTTTAAGACTTTTTTTGCTTAAAAAAGAATCTTGGATTTTGCTGTGTTTTTTTGAATAAAAATTTAAATAAAAAAAAACTGCCCTTTTTTTTTAGTAATTTAATAGAATTTCTAAATCTTCTTTGTCTAAATCGGTGGTCAAGTAATCTTTATTGAACGGGCTGTATTTTGATTTAAATATTGCAACCTTCCAACTCTACTTTTTATAACTATTTCTTACGTCTGCAGAAAGAAATGTTTGTTATTTATTTAGAAATTTCAATTTTGTATTTTCATATCATTAGTCTTTTTAATAATAATTACCATGTAGTAAATATATCCTATTTGATGTGTCATAAGAGGTTCTGTCTTACTCTGCCCCTTGTGTAAAGACTTGTGCAATTTTAATCCTTAACAATAAGGTTGGTTTTGAATATACACCATGGCCTAAGACGACTGGGGGTTGGGAGGCTAGAGCGCCCCTTGTTTTTCTAGCTTCTTAGCAAAAGTAAAGCATTCTCAGCAATTACGTTCTAATTTTTTGTTCAGATCTTCATGATGATTACATGTTCTATTATACAAAATTATTTTTAGAATATTGGAAAAAAAACTAGGAGTACTGAAATTGGGTGATAATGACCAATTTAATCGAAAGTAACTCTAGCCCTTTTTAGTTGGTCAGAAAATGTTTCTTGCTTAATTAAACAAGTGAAAACTTTAAGGAGAATATTTTTAATTATGGCATATGAATACAATGTTTCCGTTAATATCATCCGGAACAGTTGTTTTATTAGATTTAAGTATTTTGTAAACGTTTCTCAAATTCGTCAAAAGATTCTCCAAGTTTATTTAGAGCTTGAAAGGAAGATATAATCATTTATTGAATTATTGTTTTAGGGATACTTTTGGCTAAATTTGGTCTAAAACTGACTTTTAGACAGGCTTTTTTATACATACAAAAAACTTGTTATTT